CTTTACGCCTGTCATCTTCGGCGACGGCTAGTTCCCAAGTGTTTTGCATCTTATTAACCGAAGTACCGTGCCAATATCGTGAACTTTGTGCGAACTTGAATGAACGTTGGTCCGTGGCCTTCTTTGAACGTTACGCGCGTCAAATACACCACGTCTGATAGTGATCAAAAAAGTTTTGAAACTCGAACACGATAAGCATGTTGATTACGTTATTTGCATACTTTTTGCATGTCAGAGAAAAGAACGACCCCGAACAGAAAAATTCAAGCAACGATCTCTATGCGTTTAAGTAAATATGATTGATAGCTGAAAATGATATCGTAAAATGCTTTCAAAAATTATTTTAAAATTTGCAATATCAAGCGGATCATAAATATGAGGCTATTTTTATTTTATTGCTATTTTCATTGTTAAATAACAATAAAAATAGCATCTTGTTATTATTTAATATTAAAAAAAACTATAGATTGACTAAATTCAATAGCTTTTTAACAAAACTGAATTTTCATTCTTCGTGACGAACAAAGATCCAGCTAATATATCCGATAATTCCAAATTCGAAATTTAACATGTGTGTATATATATGAAAAATAATGTTCTTCGACCATATAACACTACATTGTTTGGCCGACAATCTCCAGGATTTATTCCTCAAAGCTCTGGAATCGGTTTACGAATACGTCCAACACCGCTTTGTCGCCGCAACTTGTAGGATAATATTGCATTTATGTGCTCTTTCGGAGCGATTAAATTCTCATTGTAACAAACGAGAGCAACTCAGCAACGTTTCCGTACGACAACTGTAGTGGATCCATCTAGAGATCCTTCCGAAGTGCCAATTAGTACTGCACTATTTCAAGTGCAAATACGTATAAGTGCTATTATTTGTTATTATAACCGTCGACTTAATGCAAGAGATTTGCGAGACACCATCGCGAAAATAATGCTCTCCTTCTATAAATACAATGCACTGATACAATCAAAGCGCATAATAATAACATATTTTAATATAATTTAAAAAAGATAACATATTTTTACGTATATATAATATAGCACGGAAATCTTTTCTTTAAATTATTTCAATGATATCGATATTTAAAAATAATTTGATGAATCAATATAAATATTTTTAATGCAATATAATCATTCTCGTATTTTGTATATAAAAAAAAACAGAATAAACGTAAAAGTTTAAAGGTTTGAATATCTGTCCCAAAGGGCTAAAAATGAAAATGAATAAATTTGCAAAACGATACTTTGAAAATTCTATCGCACAAGAGAATAGTTTTTGTTCAAATTTAATATAGCACGGAAATCTTTTCTCTAAATTATTTCAACGATATCGATATTTAAAAATAATTTGATGAATCAATATAAATATTTTTAATGCAATATAATCATTCTCGTAATTTGTATATAAAAAAAACAGAATAAACGTAAAAGTTTAAAGGTTTGAATATCTGTCCCAAAGGGCTAAAAATGAAATGAATAAATTTGCAAAACGATACTTTGAAAATTCTATCGCACAAGAGAATAGTTTTTGTTCAAATTTAATATAGCACGGAAATCTTTTCTCTAAATTATTTCAACGATATCGATATTTAAAAATAATTTGATGAATCAATATAAATATTTTTAATGCAATATAATCATTTTCGTAATTTGTATATAAAAAAAAAACAGAATAAACGTAAAAGTTTGAAGGTTCGAATATCTGTCCCAAAGGGCTAAAAATGAGAATGAATAAATTTGCAAAACAATACTTCGAAAATTCTATCGCACAGGAAATAGTTTTCGTTCAAATTTAATATAGCACGGAAATCTTTTCTTTAAATTATTTCAACAAAAATATTTTTAATGCAATATAATTATTCTCGTAATTTGTATAAAAAAAAAAAAAAAAAAAAAAAAACAGAATAAACGTAAAAGTTTGAAAGTTCGAATATCTGTCCCAAAGGGCTAAAAATGAGAATGAATAAATTTGCAAAACGATACTTCGAAAATTCTATCGCACGGGAAAATAGTTTTCGTTCAAAAATGTGTTCACGCACGTTCGTAATTCATAACGCGAATACTCGGGTTAACGAAGCGAGCAAAGGCCACGTAGATCGATTAGACCGAGATGAAGCTCGCCTCGTATCCAGCCCTTCGCGGCTGGAGAATTTTACGGTTACGCGCGCTACATATTCATAACGCGCCGCGAAGGATGAGGATCGTTCCGGAAGTTGCCGTCGCGCATATTCGGGTCAGCTGCAAATAACGACTGCAGCCAAAAATCATTCATGATTTATGGCGAGTCCGATCGTCTCGTTTTCCGGCCGTCGTCGTCGAGTACAAATCGAAAAGCCTCCCCGGCGCGAAAGAGCGGGAAAAAAGAGAATCGCGCTTATGCAAAATAGCAGCAACGTCCGCGTGCGCGCTGCATCGAGAAACGACGAAGCGCGCGCACCGCGATGATTAATCGCGTTGTCGTCGTCGGCGGGGCGATTTAAAAGTAAAATCATTTATTCGATATGGGACGGGCACCCAGCGGGATGACAACCGGTAATAGCCTACATTACGCGTAATGACAAACGACGATGCGCCGCAACGATATGGAAAATGGGTCACTCTATATATACATATATATATATACATATAAGGGTTCGCCTTTTCCTCACCCCGGCGTCATAAAGGCGTCCCAGGACATTGTCCGAGGGTGCCTTTGGCGTTCGTCCTACCAGAAAATTTGTTCGCTCAGGTGCCGACAAATGTACCTCCTCCGTCCTGTCTCTGCGCGACGAGCGAGAGGACGTATGAGTACGGCTGGAATAAATTCACGACGAAAAAGAGCGAGGGAGAGAGAGAGAGAGAGAGAGAGAGCGACCCGTGCGATATCACTATCGCTCGTAAGACACCCGCATCCTCTCTTCCTTCCAAGATGTCGAGCGCGCAGCAAGCTGTTCGCCTAGAAAATTTGCATCCTCGAGGCGTTTCAACCCGGTTGCTCGCGCCCGTATCGCCTTTGGAATTAAGTACCCGTTTCGCCACAAATTCGATAAGGGACGCGGAGATTTTCACAAACCAAGCGAGAAAAAATAACGCAAGAAAAAAAAGGAATCGCAATAAACGTTAAATGAATCGAAAATATCGATTATTGATTGCCGCGTATATTTTTATACCCTGAAAAATCTAATATTCTCCCCACGCGATAAATATAAAATACCGTGATTTATATATAAATTCTATTTAAATCGTTTTATAAATATATATATATATATATATTAAGAATCATTCATTACGAGGAGCTGGCAACATTAATCACGCGATCGATCGACAGTGTGTCCTTGAAAATCCCCGGTGGAAAATCCACGTGTCTCAGTATATCTTGTCACTTTTTTCCCCGTTAGTTAAACGACTCGCCGCGAACTTTCTCCCACGTGAAATAAGTTCTCGAAAAGCTCGGGCTGCCCGACGACGTGGCGCTCGGACAGGCGTGAAGGGATTAAAAGAGTGAAATAATGTCGACACACAATGGGCTTCCTTTACATCCACAATGAAGAAGAACTGTCCGCGACAACGGGACAGCTTCGGTTAAGCGTATAATCTAAAGCAGGGTTTTCCAAACTATAATCCGCGTGACGCGACGCTCTTCTTCGCAAAACAAACACAACAGAGTTTTTAATTTCATTAAAATGAGCGAAATATCATTTCTCTCTCCTCGATTATTTAAAGTCGATAAAGTTGGCTCGCACATTATTATAGTATATTATTTTATTTAAAATAAATAAAATAATGTTATAAAAAAAATTCGTTATTTTTCACTGTATATATCTCTTTAGCTACTGAAAACAAATATTTGGAAAAATTCAGTCCTCATGTTGAATTTAGAAAATTTGGATCAGGAGCAAATACATGCCACTCTACGCAATTCGCAGGAGCGAAAACGAGACGTCCGGGAAGTTCTCCGACTTAAGGAAGTGGAGGAGAAGGGGTAGAAGTAGGTGGAAACCAGTTTCAGGTGATATATCTTCGCGGTCTCGCCTCGACGAGCCTCCCCTAAACACCCGAAGGAGCGACGTGCAGTAAAAAAGGGCGTAAGGAAGTGGCGCGAGCGCACGCTTCCACCGGTTTTTGTTCGCGCTGCAGAGTTAATCCCTCGGAGTTTACCTCGAGACCGGCTGGAAGAGCTTCTTTCGGCGATCTCGGATCTCCCTCTTTCTCTTCCCTTTTCTAGACCGTGCCGAAGGGGCCAGTGAATCGGGAAGGGAGGACTTCCCGACTGAACCTCGACTGCGAGAGAAGCGCAACGGCGCAAAATAAACTACCCTCACATCGCGTAATACACGGCGTTACCTCCGGCGCTATTCCTCTGTCCCCCGAAAGCTCTCTGCCGACCTTTTCCTGAAGGACGTTCCTATAAAACACGGTCGTCGTGCCTCAAATACAACGCGGCGTCGCTGCTTCTTCTCGGTTCGCGGACCCGTTTAAAGCAAGTCGCGAGCGCGTTGCTGGATTCAGACTTAATTAAGTTTACATTTCAGTTTCGATGGGTACACACAGCTTGTCTCGACGCGAGCACACGTTGCTCGTTTCCGGCATGTTAGCCCGCGACTAGGTCTAATATTGCAGAAATCCCACCGGCTCGTTCCCGCCAAGTAAAAACGACACGCGGAATTATTTCGCGTTCGTTCTATCTCAAAAGGTAATTTAACTTCATGCATATGTATGATAAGCGTTGATTATTTCTTGTTATTCTTATATCCCGGCGTACTCCGGTCTGTTGCAAGTTTTTTTTTTCGAAAAGTCTAATTACAGAAATATTTTAAACTTAAAGATTAAAAGAAAGACTTCTCGCAGAGAAAAATTGTATTCGGTTAATTTTTAAACCGCGATCTCAAAGTTATTTCTCTCTTAAGGAAGTCGAGCGAGAGACGAAATTTTGCTCTCTCGTTGAGAATATAATTGCGTGAAACATAATGATGTATACAATATACGATTTATTATTGACAGGTACTCACATTGAACGTCGAGCAGGATACTGGCGTTCATCGGTATCACCAGCGTGATGTGACGCGCGACACAGACGATGGTAGCATTGTGATGTCCTCTCAGGACCTTAAGGTGAGCCCCGCTGCGCCTGCCGGACGTTGAGGGCAGCACGGTGAGGTTGTCCGGCGGTTGTTCCGGCCCGTCTAAAGTAGCCTGAGACAAGGTCATGCCCCACGCCAAGATGGGCGGCGGATTTCCACCCTCGGCCGCGCACTCGAGAGTGAGCTCCGAGCCCTCCTTCACCGGCACAAACTGGTTTCCGGGATCCAGCCGGCGGCCATCTATCAGCAGATACGTTCCACGAGGTGCCTCTGTAACAAGGAGCCCGGTAACCGCTTCAATTAGTGACTTCGTAACGTGGAAAAATTTATCGAGGCACGCGAAAGACATAGTTTGACGACTTCACCGTGGCACGTTTAATAAACGACATGATCCATATGCAACTTGTTTCAATAATGAACGTGTGAAAAAAATTTTTTTAATTAAATTCTTTGTTAATAAAATAATAAAAATGTGATAAAATCAATTAATAATAAAAAAAGATATTCATATATATATATATATATATATATTTTTTTTTAAGTACGATAATAATTACGTGTATATATTATAGATATTTTTATAATCATTTTAGAATCAACTGACTTTGTTGTTTACGCTTTTCAGGCGTAAAGTATAATTCTAATTTACAAGTATATTGTATTAAATCCAATGTTTATATATCATGGTGGAATAATTTCGTGGCGAGGAAAATGTCGCGCGATTTAATCAGATTTATCAAACGCATATCGTGCGCGCAGAGCAGCAGTTTTTAGTCTCAAACGTGCTATCGTTGCCAGCGGACAACGTAAATTAAAGTCTTACGTACGCGGTGGACTTTTTACGCGACATGCAGCGGGAAGCAGGAAGCACGACATATGAGGACAGCAATTTACAGAGCGGCAAATGCCCATTGCGAACTGGCCAGTTTTACGACGGTGTTGTACGAGAGCGTAACTTCTCCGCCTGACTCCTTTTCTCATTTTGCGACGCGATTTAACCGCTCGCGTGGATCACGAACCCCACGGGAGATCAGCTCGGGAACACGGGAACTTGAAGCCCTCTTTAATTTTCGCCAACTTTCAATTGGCCAGACTCTGGGCTAACAACTGATTAATCTGGCAGCTCGTACTCGGCTTAAAAAAAAAAAAAAACGAAAAAAATAGTTTGCCGTTCCACCCGGCCACGCTTTTCGTTTCGCGAGAAGAGTAATCCGACCGTTTGTCTACATTGAATCTCCTAGGAAACCGCCCACGAGATGCTTTAATGTATTCTCAGAATTTTTTATCCCATTTTTAACATTTTTTTCCTTCCCTTTTCGCTCTGCGCTCTCAATTCTAAATGTCCGGAACTTATGCGTAATGAAAATCTAACGATGCAAATCGTTCGGTATCCGAAATATTCTCACGAGAGGCGTAATGCTTTATATATAGAGAGAGAGAGAGAAAGAGAGAAAGAGAGACGTCTGTAAATTCAGTTTATAACTTAACGTTCTCTGTTTGCGCTCCGTTCATCTGGGACTCGTTGTATCCGCTTCTATCTTTTTGTTTCTTTCTTTTTTTTTTTTTTAGTTTGCAGACCTTCGCAGCGCCGTAGACTGCGCCAGTTTACCATTCATTAAGACATCAGTAGTAAATTGTAAACCGTGAGGAAAAGAGAGAAACGTAAAGTTATTAAAACTTGCGATGAAAACTGCGAGCTTAAACAATGCTGGGAAGAAAGTTCGTACAAAAAGAAAAAAAAATGGAAAACTATGTAACAGCAATTTATATTTATCCCAAATTAAATTACAAGAGCGACGTAATTCTTATTCAACGGGAGGAGAGCGTAAAAGAATGAGGCGAACTGCACTAGATTGCTGTTCGGCAGCGAAAATTCGTAAAAGTCACTTTCGCGGGAGGTTTGCTTTATATAAACCGGCAACGGTGCGGTGCCAATCTCTCCCAATTCCGAGTTGACTTCTCCGCCATACTCCAGCCGCGCTTCGATAAGATCTAGTCACGTTCATTAAATTTTCTCGTACTGTCGGCCTTGCCAAGACGGATGGTAGGGACGTTCTCGAAATAGGTCGCTGAATAAGAGGAAACGTGCAAAGCCTTCTAAAGACAGAAATTGTAATTGTATCTCCAGTATGATTTAATGTAATAAAATATAGCGCAAGCAGCACCTGCAGCCGAGTAAAACGGCACAGGCATGACGGAAAATTTAATAATACCATGAGATTTAATAATACGGCCGAGACTATGTCCTTTTTCAATTTGTTAACTAAATATATAAAATTAGCAGCCAGTACCGAGCTGTTATTTTCTTATATTTTATTTAGTTTTATGTTATTGTTATATTATTTCCTCCTTTTTTATACATTCGACTTCAGTAAGTACGAGAAACTTTTTTATCTCTAGATTTATATAGCATTAACGATTTGATAAATAATTAGAAACATTGGAAAAGTAATAAATGAAAAATAAATGGTTTCGATACTATTATAATTAATTCTACTACTATATTATCGAACTACCCATCATAATGTAAATGTCTCCAATTAATGTATAATCCATGAATCAATAAAAATTATTTAATTTTATCCCATTTTTGTACCTTTAATGTTTTACTTTATTTCTTAATTTTTATATATTTAATCGCCTGACCCAATTATTTTTTGTCAAAATTAGGTCGATTGAATTAATAATACAATGAATAAATTATAATGCAAGAATAGTGGCAATAAAATACATAGCATTGTTAATGATTATGTAATAATTAATAATTTTATCATCGAAAGCTATCATCAAAATTATTTTCAGTGACTTGAATAAGAAAAAAATTATTTTCCTTATATTTTTTGTTGCAATAATTTGTTTGATTCAACTTACAGCATTTATTATCAATGATAAAATAACAAATTCAATGTGATAACAAATGCTTTGAATTTCTTTACATTTTAAAATCGCATTGAAAAATTCGACAGGCACCAATGAGAAGACTGTGTCAAGTCGATATTATCTAGATAGTAACATGAAGCTCAAAAACGTACAAAGAACCTCGAAAAATCCGGAGGTACTTTGCATACACTTTTCGCCTCAATCTTCGCTCTAAAAATCACGGAGCCGTCTCCTTGGAAAGATTCCAGAATCATGTAACGCGATCGCGAATTGCGGAAGGGAAAAAGGTTGGGAGAGAAAAGTCCTCGCACACCGAGTGTGCATGGTTATGTGTTTTCGTATGAACGTATGCTGCTTCGTTGAAAGACTGTAAAGGCGAATACTGTTGGAAATATGAAATTCCCGTAATACAAAAAAATTCGTTTCGCATATACGTTCGCATAAATTTGTGTTTTAACATACCCGTGATATTAATTGTTTTAATTATCATATTAACGAATCGTAGATTAAACCATCTCTAAATGTGAAATGCGTACATTGTTAGACATAATAGGAACATAAGTTTCGAGATTAATTTATATATGGAACTTAGTGATCTCAAATCAAGAGATACAGTTCCGAATAATTAATTTTTCGTGTTTTGGCTCTGTTGGCCGATTTAAAAAACATCATATTTATATACATAATAGGAATATATGTATTATTCCTTTGTTATAATGAGAACAATTAATTGTATTTATAATTAATTTTCATACTGTAAGATAATACTATACACACACATACCTGTGTAATTTCAATTATGATGCTTTTACCATCGAATATCTCTTAAGTACTATTCTCGTACATTTTCACGAAAATGGCTCCATATATCTCCCATTAAAAAAATGTTATTAAATCTTTCTAGAAAATAGGTTGTTAAAGTATAATTCGAAAGGCATTGGTGAAATAATGGACAACGGAGGATTGTATTGTAGCAATATTTGTCTTGCATAAGTTAGTAGATAAGTCTCTTAACTGCATTTTACTTATTTCAACGATAAAAACCAAAGGTTTAGATTCGGACAGTAACGGGCAAAATATCGTGCAAGCGGGTATTAGCGCATGGGCAAAGATATTTTTTGCTCGTTTGAAACGAGAGGTGAAAAGGGTTTAATCCTTTCCCACCATGCGCGCCCAGAGAGTTTGAACGTATGCATCGTTTAAAGTAAAAAGATGAGAGAAAAAAAAAGCTTAAGCCCAGCTCTTGATCCAACAGCGTTTTCGTCCATCCGAATCACGTAATTAAACCTTTTTACGGTAGCGATAATAAAATCTGTCGTATCGCATGGATTAGTGACATTTTCCTTTCGAGGATTACGGGAAAAATTTATATATCTCCGCCATCATTCTAACGTAAATTTAAATTAAATATCTAAGTAACGTTTAAAGGAAAAATTTGGCAATTTGAATGCAAGGTATTCGCATTATCACAAAAAGGCGCATAAACGATGCCCAAACGAGTGGAAGATGGCTCTTGGAAATTTTCTAGTCGGCGCAATGTAGTTTAATTTTCACGAAATGATCATGTAGTCCACGATCTTGGAGAGTTTCCAAAGATCCGCGTTGCACTCGGGTTACCGTTGTAAAAGGGGACGCCTGAATAGGGATCTCGGAAAGAAATTTTCCCCGGGTCGTCGAGGCTACAGACCCACCGTCACGGTGGATTTAGAAAACGTACGATTCGCACGAAAACTCAGACTTGCATTCTAAGAACGTCTGGACGTGCGCGCGAGTGTGAAGGGGGATCGCAGCAGGTGTTAATACGGAAACATAACGCCAGAAACATTCCCAGGACGCGGATGGGAACGCATTCGCAGCATATGGCGCCGTATCTGCCCCGAGAGGATTTCAGGTCCGCTTGCAGTTCGTAAAATTTCATAATATCGTGAGCACGCCCTTCATCCTGCTCAGAAAGAACGTCACAAGTAAGGAAAGCAAACGAACTATCTGGTATATGATACGATGCTGCATTCACCGCTTTTCATGGATATTTATCCTTATATAAAGGTTGTATGATAATACTATAATGTTCCATAGAGTAAAGTTATTTGCAATGTTATATTTGAAGAAAGTAAATGTATGAAATATATACATGCACGCATATATTATTTTTATTTTTACGAAAGTTGAATAATCCTTATATTATATTGTATTATTTTATGCGCAGATAATATTAGTTCACTATAAATAAAACGTATCTGCTGGATATATTCTTTAAATAAGGACCAGCTAATATAATAATATATGACTTTGAGATTACGTTTGTGTGTAATTATTACAACAATAAAAAATTAAATAAAAAATAATAACTTTTTGATCAATTAATATATGTATATATATATTCAACTTCT